GCCTGTAATCCCAGCTACTCACGAGGCTGAGGCAGGAGAATCCCTTGAACCCAGGAGGAGGAGGTTGCAGTGAGCCGAGATTGTGCCATTGCATTCCAGCCCAGCCAACAGTGCAAGACTCCGTCTCAAATAATAATAATAATAATAACAACAACAATAACAACAACAATAATAGTTATTGTTTGTTGAAAGTTTCTTACTTGCCAGAAACTTTACCTATGGTTTCTCATGTCATCCCCACAGCAACCTTATGAAGTAGGTACTATAAACCCCTCATTTTACAGGTGGGGCAATGGAGGCTCAGAGAGGTTAACTCACTCGCCCAAGGTCACACGAGCAGGCCTGGGGTCTGCATTTAAGTCCACGTGGAGGCCCCATGCTCTAAACCAATACAGGCCACTGCTGTGTGGCCCTCACTCTGGCGTCCAATGTTTCACTGCCACTCTCCACTTTGCGGCATCCTCAGAGCTACCTTGTTGGCCTCTTCTAGGCCATTGGTGAAAGGAAAAGCTGAGCTGGCCTCAAACTGCTGAAATCTGGGGACTCTTCAGAGAAGGACACAAACCTAGATGTTCATCAAAGAGGTAGCACACAGCAGCCATGGGGAATAACGCACTGGTCTCTGGAGTCAGACAAACCCAGACCAGAACCCCAGCCCTGCCGGTGCTTCCCTGTTTTGTGACTTTGGCCGGGTTGTTCATATTCCTGAGCCGCAGCCTCTTCATCTGCAGAACAGCAAAACTCATAGCGCCCGCCCACCATGTCCCGGAGAGGATCCAAGATGTGCGGCACCTTCACTCTTCATTTCTCCCACGTTTACTGAGCACCTACTAGGTGCGGAGGCGCTGTTCCAGCCAGAGCTCAGTCAAAGAGTAGAAAGCGCTGGGGACAGAGCCTGGCCTGCAGAAAGTGCTCAGGAAACGCAGGCTCCCGCTGTGGCTCTGACTGGCTTCCCGCCCCTCCCGGTCTGTCCCCGGGCTGCCCGCCCCGCCTTACTTGTTGAAATTTCGGTAGTCGTTGGGGCTGGGGGTGTGACTTCGCCCATCGCTCTGGTAGTCCCGGTAGCCGACGAACTCCTGCCAGGGGCAGCGGTAGCCCTTGGGGATGGCGGTGTGGTTGAACTTCTCTGGCGGGACGCCCTTCAGCGGCTCCGCATAGCCTAGGGGCGGAGGGGAAGGGGGCGCCTCGGTTCTTCCACCCTCAGCCCCCACCCCCACCTCGCCCCATCCCCATTCCGCGGAGGCGGTTGGAGGAGGGAAGATCCGAGTTAGGGGAGAGGAGTGGGGGAACAGGATGTCACAGTTGCTCCAGCACAGGAGACCCCTTCCCGTCCCAGGAAACACGGAGGACTGCAGTGAGGAAGCCACGAGTTTGCAGCGCGGGTTGCAGTCTTGGCCTTGGCTGACTCGCTGTCTGACCTGGGGCGCGGCGGCGTGTGTGTTGGGGAAGGGGGTGGACTAGCTTTCTGGGTGCTCTTCCTGCCCCATGGGAAGCACACCCATGCTTCAGGCCCCCAAGCCCTGGTCCAGGGACCCGAGAAGGCCACTCACCTGGCGCCAAGGCGCTGGGGCTGGGGACGCACCCAGCTGGGGCGGCTGCAGAGTGGGCGCCCTCGGGACCCCCGAGTGAGGCCCCCGGTGAGGCCCGGAAGATGTGGAGCTCCGAGCGGTAGTTCTGCCCCTCGGGGCCATTGGCATTGGCAACCTGGGCACAGGGGCGGACTCTCAGAGGCCACCGACGACCTCCCGCCCCCAACCGCCTTCCCCTTCCCCCAGCTTCCCTTCCAGGGAGCTCCCCTCCACGCTCACCGTCCCCGACTCCGCTGTTCCAGTCACCTTCCTCTTGGCGCTTCCGGCCAGCATCTGGGAGCGAGGGGGTAGAATAAACCGCGGAGAGGCTCAGCGGGGCAGGGGACCAGGGTTTTCCCTCCACCAAAAAAAAAAAAAAAGGGAAAGGCAAGAATCCTAACGCCCATCATCGGGGAACAGGGATGAGTTACTAGTTTACAGCGCTAAACCCAGTGCCTGGGACCGAGAAATACTCGATATATGTTAAATGCTATTGTAATGCTGAGTCTGGGCAAGATACTTAATTTCCCTGAGCCTCAATGTCCTTCTCTATAGAATGAGGATGATGGTGATGAAGGTCTCTTCCTCAGAAGAATCTATGAGCATTAAATGAGACACCTGCAAAGTGCTTAGCTAGCACTGACTTAGGCACATAGCAAGGGCGGGTGTTTGGTCATCTTTATTTTTCTGCCACATCACTCCCTCTCAGTTGCCTCCTGTCTGGCCCGGAAATTAAGTGGAGGGTGGATGGAATAGCCCTGGCTTCCTTAGAAGTATCTGGAACTGCCTGCTACCTTTCTGAAGCCAAGGGAAGAACCCTTCTTGCCTTTCTTCTCCACCAGCAGGTTATTCCATGGCCTTTCCTTCCTCCAGTGGGAAGAAGAAAAAAAGGCATTCTACATTTTCCATCTTAGATCAGGCCCAAGTCTAAACTAGATCCTGCCTGCTGCAAATTTAGCCTGGAATGCATGCCTGTCTTCGCATTTTTTTTTCTTTTTTTTTTTGTAGGAGGCAGACTACCTTCACTCAACGGCTTATCCTCAACCCCCCAATCTACTTTGTTCACTTTGTTCTGTAGCCAGAGTGAGATGCCTAAAAAGATAACACTTTTCAAGGATCACACAGAAAGGCAGGAGCTTCATCTGATGGGAACATCACAATCTTCAGCCTGGCTTACCATTTGGCTTTAGGCTAACCACTGGCTCTCTGTCGTCCTCAGTTTCCCCATGAGCACAATGGTGGCTTACTCACCGCCCGCTGACTGGCTGCTAACTCGAAAGTGAACTTCTGCACACGGCGCTGCCTCTTCTGGAAGAGGAGGGACCCTCTGTTGTTGCGTAGTGACAGCTCCTCCATCATCAGGTCCTGGGGCACGCTCAACTTCTTGCCCAGGTCCAGCGTAGGGACTGCCAGGAAAGGCCAGAGCGGGCTCTCACCACCCCATCCCCCATACACTCCAGACCCCACCTCTCAAGGCACCTCCTCAGCATGGCATGCTGTGTGTAAGAATGCCCGTTTCTCCCCAAGCTTGCTGACACCAGGTGTCATGATTCTTTGGAATCTTTGCCCACCTGATGGGCAAAAATGGCACTTTAGAGTTTAATTTGCATGTGTTTGTTGCTCAGTGAAGTTTAGCACTGTTTCAGAAGTTCTTTGGCCATTTGTATTTATTGCATGAATTCCCCGCGCAGGTCTTTGCCCACAATGGTGGAGGTAGTGAGAAATGGTCAGGTTCTAGCTGTGTTTTAAAGGTAAGCCATGGGTATGGTCAATAATCGAGAGAGGGGTTGAGGATGACCGCAAGGCTTCTGGCCTGAGCCACTAGAAGGATAGAGCAGCAGCTCATTGAGATGGGGAAGGCAAAGGGAGGAGAAAGTTCTGGGAAAGATTAGGAGTTCAGTTTTAGACATGCGTTCTTTTAACTTTAAAATAACCTTTTATTATTATAAAAAAGCATATATGGGCCGGGCACGGTGGCTCATGCCTGTAATCCCAGCACTTTGGGAAGCCAAGGCAGGCGCATCACCTGAGGTCAAGGATTCGAGACCAGCCTGGCCAACATGGCGAAACCCCACCTCCACTAAAAGTAGAAAAATTAGCTGGACATGGGTGGCACGTGCCTGTAATCCCAGCCACTCCAGAGGCTGAGGCAGGAGAATCACTTGAACCCAGGAGATGGAGGTTGCAGTGAGCTGAGATTGCATTGCTGCACTCCAGCCTGGGTAACAGAGTGATTCTCCATCAACAACAACAACAACAAGACTATATGGGCCCTGAGGAATGTTGGAAAATACAGATATCAGACAAAAAAGAGAAAAATACCATTATCTATCGCCCAGAGACTGCCACTATTAACACCTTAGTGTATGTCCTTTCATATCTTTTTCAATGACTATATTCGTACGAGGTTTTAACCAAAACAAAATCATAGTGTACATGTTTTGTAACTTTTTTTTGCTTTGTTTTTTGAGATGGAGTCTCATTCTGTTGCCTAGGCTAGAGTGCAATGGCACAATCTCGACTCACTGCAACCTCTGCCTCCCGGGTTCAAGCAGTTCTCCTGCCTTAGCCTCCTGAAGTAGCTGGATTACAGGCACACACCACCACTCCTGGCTAACTTTTGTATTTTTAATAGAGATGGGGTTTCACCATGTTGACCAGGCTGGTCTCGAACTCCTGACCTCGTGATCCGCCCGCCTCGGCCTCCCTAAGTGCTGGGATTACAGGCGTGAGCCACCGCACCCAGCCTGTAACTTGTTTTTAGCACTTAAAGATCTCCAGCTTTCCAAGTGAACACATTTTTGTTCTATCTAATATCTAGTCCATATCCAAACTCTGCTAATTATCTCCAAAACTGGGCATCTTAAATTTGAGGAAACTTGTAGGCATCTAAGTGGTGGTGCTGAGGAGGGAGATAGATGTGTGAATCTGGAGAAAACTGACCTGAAGGTGAAATTTTGAGCATCATGAGCTTTTACTGGTATTTACTGGTATTTGTTGTTGTTTTTCAATGAAGAACATTACATTTATTTCTTTTCTCATAGTTGGAACTACTCTTTATAGCTATTTAGAGGATTTTCAGGGTGATGACTGTTCTTAGCAGTTTGTGCTTTTCCCACTAGCCAAATGCAAACTTTCACATTTGGCCAACAAAGGAAGCCTTTTGCAGGACAGAGGGGAGAGAATGGTGAGGACCTTGGCAGGTGAGAGCCCTGTGTGGGCAGCATGGCCTGCCTGGTCCATCTCTAAAATCGGATACACATATGTTCATATTCCAGCTCCATAAATGGTACTTTAAGCTGGGAGGCTGGATGAGATCACAAAGAAATGAGAATAGGTAAAGAGGACCAGAGACGGAGCCTGGGGCCTCCAACATTTACAGTGAGGCGGTGAGGATGAACTAAGCCAGGAGCCTGGGCAGGAGCAGCCCACAACATAGGACGAAACTAAAGAGGATGGCATCTTGGAAATAAATGATGAAAGCATTTCAGGTATGATAGAGAGACTAACAGAGCCAAATGCTGCTGATGTGTCAAGGAAGATGAGAGCTGAAAATCGACTATTATATTTAGTAACACAAGGTCATTGGTAATTTTCACCAAAGCAGTTTCTGTGGAGTGTTTGGGTGTGAAAGCCTAACTGGAGAGGGTTCAAGAGAAAATGGACAGAGGAACAAGTTTAACCACACCATGAGGAAACGATAAGCCAAATCCAGGATGCAGGACATTCTACAGGACAACTGGCCTGGTTTTTCACACAAGTGAGTGGCATGGAAAAAAGGGGCAGAGGGCTTGCTTCAGATTAAAGGAGATTTAGAAGCCATAGCAACCAAATAAAAACTGTGGCCCTTATTTGGATGCTGATGAAAACAAACCAGAAAACTGAAGAAGGTTGACTACAGACCGCTTATTAAATGTTATTAAATCATTAGTGCTGATTTTGTTCAGTGTGCTAATATCTTTGTGGCATGTAAGGAAACATCCTTTTATTATTTTGATGCATTCTGAAGTATTTGCGGGGTGAAATGACATGCTTTTTGGCATTAGCTTTGAAATTTAGGAATGAAGGAGGGACCATGTACTCCGTACTTGTATGTGTGTTTGGAAATTGACTAATAAAATGTCAAAAAGAGAGAAAGAGAGGATTGGTAAGAAAAATATAGGCAACTGCTTGGAAGAGTTGGGCTTTAAAGGATCCTGGCTACAGACAGCTATGGGGTCAAGAGGGGTTTGTTTGTTTGTTTGTAAAGATGGAGAATAACAGCATGTGCGTTAACTGATGGGAACTTTTGAACAATGCAGTAGAGAGAGGGGAGAATTGCTGCAGGAATGTCCTTGAGCAGGAGTGACAGGAGAGCTGCGTTTCCAGAGCCCAGCCAGAGGAGTTGGCACCAGGCAGGTGTGAGGAAAGTTCATCCACCATATCAGAAAGGAAAACCACAAACATGGGCGCAGATGCAAGCAAGTAGACAGATGTGACAGAGGATGCTTGCAGATGTTCTCTTCTGGTTACTCTATTTTTCTTAGTGGAATAAGAAACAAGGTCTTTAGCTGATAATGAAGTTGTGCAAGGAGGTATTGAAGGTTTGAGGAGAAGTGGTGCCAAAGTCATTAAGAGAGTAGCATGGGAGAGTGAATGAACTAGGGAGATGGACATGGCTACCGGGCAGCACTGGGGGTCACTCAGGTGCTGTGATTCATGCCAGTCAATGGAATCCTGAATAGCTGTCTAAAAAGGACACTGATTTTTTTTTTTCATTCTTTCAACACAGACTTAAAGGGCACTTTCTATGTGCTAAGAACAGAAAGAAACCCACTTATAGGCTGGGCGCGGTGGCTCACACCTGTAATCCCAGCACTTTGGGGGGGGCAGGCGGGTGGATCACTTGAGGTCAGGAGTTCGAGACCAACCTGGCCAACATGGCAAAA